GGATGGTCTCGATCTCCTGACCTCGTGATCCACCCGTCTCGGCCTCCCAAAGTGCTGGGATTACAGGCTTGAGCCACCGCGCCCGGCCTAATTTTTTGTATTTTTAGTAGAGATGGGGTTTCACCATGTTGGCCAGGTTGGTCTCGAACTCCTGACCTCAAGTGAGCCACCCGCCTCGGCCTCCCAAAGTGCTGGGATTACAGGCACGAGCCACTGAGCCCAGCGCATTGACTCTATTTTTTTTTTTTTTTAAAGCAGTGGGAGGAAGATCAGAGAGAAGTAAAGGGTCTCCCGTGAAGCATGGGCAAGTGCTTGCAAGTTCAGAAGAAGGGGATTGGGACGTCTGAATAGGGGTTCTGGAGGCTAGGGTGAGGTGTGAGGGTGACTCTGGCCTTTGGGCCATTTTGTGCCTGCTGGTTGGGCTCCTGGTGGCCACATTCATGCTTTGGTCCTGACCCCAGGCAGGCTGGTGGCTGCCTGTGTGGCAGCCCTGGTGCCCATGTCAGTTGGGGAGCCTTCTTTGTGGTCACCACTCTTGGGCATCAGCTGGTTGCCTGGCTGTGTTAGTGACCCAGCCCAAAACAGCCCCCTCCTCTACCCTGGCTACATGCAGTACCCATCTCTGGGGGTCCTGCAGAGCAGACCTGGCTAATGCCACCCTCTCTTCCGACTGCCTTTCAGGAAGACCATGCTCAATGACCTCCTGCGGTTCGATGTGAAAGACTGCTCCTGGTGCAGGTGGGTGGCCCCGTGCTCCAGGGCCCTGCCTTTCCTCCTAGAACACAGTGGCACAGTTCTGGGTCCCAGTTGCTAGCAGAGTCTCTCTCATCATGGGAAGCTGGAAAGAAGCTTCCAGGAGGAGACAACCATGGCCCCAGGGATGCCACACCCAGAGCCACCCTGTCAGGGCTGAGGAGATGAAATAGTTGCCCAGCACCTGCAGCAGCCAAGCTGGGCACACAGGGCGGCTCTCTTCCGGGCGCCCACCTCTACCCCGAAGCTGCTGCTAGTGTGGGTACAGAAGGTGCTATGTCATTTCTCTCATATGTGATTTTGTAAGATAGCTAGTAGTTAAAAATTAATTTTAAAAATCATTCTGAAGGCTTCGCAATTATTTGTCAAAAATTGCTTAACTATAAAACTCAGAAAAAGAGCAGCCCCAGGTCAGCAGTGTAAATGGATTTTGAATTCAGTACATAAAATGTAAAGGCAGGGCACAGGGGCCCATGCCTGTAATCCCAACGCTTTGAGAAGCTGAGGAGGGAAGCTCCCTTGAGGCTAGGAGTTCAAGACCAGCTGGGCAACAAAGTGAGACCCCGTCTAGAAAGATAGACATATGATAGATAGATAGAAAAACAGAAAGAGAGATGATGGATAGATAGAGAGATAGATAATAGGTAGATAGCTAGATGATAGGTAGATTAGATAGATGACGTAAATAGTGGACAGTTGATAGATAGATGACAGATCAACAGACAGATGATAGATGATAGGTAGACAGATGATAGATTAGATAGATAGATAGATAGATAGATAGATAGATGGATGATGGGTAGATGACAGACGATAGATGACAGGGAGATAGATGATGGATAGATAGATTATATAGATAGATTAGATGATAGATGATAGATAGGTAGGTAGGTAGATGATGGTTAGATAGATAGGTATTAAATGAAATTGATGGACCCCATGCTGTAAGACGCTGCACTGCTGCTGAGAGCAGGAGTATGGATGGTCCTGAAGTAGCATGAGGACCTGGTCACATTCTGTGAGTTGAATAAGCAATTTACAAAATATCTACCACTTGATTCCATTTTAAAAAATTCCATGGAAGCCTAAGTATGCATAGGAGAGGGCTGCAGGGAAGACCTCAAGGTGTTGCCAGAGGTTTTCTGGTCATGGGAATTTGCATGAGCTTTAGTGCCTATTTTGTTTTTTCCTTATTGGTGAGGTGCTTTTTTTTTTTAAGTTTCTATGATGAGACAGGTGTCACCTTCAAAATACAAAAATGAAACGTAGCCGGGCGCGGTGGCTCACGCCTGTAATCCCAGCACTTTGGGAGGCCGAGGCGGGCGGATCACCTGAGGTCAGAAGTTCAAGACTAGCCTGGCCAACATGGTGAAATTCCGTTTCTACAAAAATACAAAAAACTAGCTGGGCATGATGGCGGGTGCCTGTAATCCCAGCTATTCAGGATGCTGAGGCGGGACAATTGCTTGAACCCGGGAGGCGGAGGTTGAGCCGAGATGGCGCCACTGTACTCCAGCCTGGGTGACAGAGCGAGACTGTCTCAAAAAAAAAAACAAACAAGAAAGGCAACACAGGGATGCAGGGCCACCCTGTGAGGGTGTGGACCTCATGGGTGACGCCCGCTGACTCTCACCACCCCTGTGCAACCCCAGGGCCTTTACCACTGGGACCCCGCCGGCCCCCCGTTACCACCACTCGGCCGTCGTCTATGGGAGCAGCATGTTTGTCTTTGGTAAGCAGCCTCTTGCCTCCCAGGGGCTGTGTCGCCCCCGAGGCCCACAGACACCCTGCCCTTCTGCAGGCCTGGGGCGTTTGTGCTCATGCTGTATACAGCAGGGGCTCTCTGTTCACCCTCAGCTTTGTCTGCCAGGCCTCTGAATTCTGCGCTGGATCTGGGACCCCTTGCCCTAACAGCCCTGAACTCACAGGGTTGAGTGTCTTTCGGTGTTGCTGGGCTGTGGCTGGGAACAGTGTCCTGCTCATCTCTGCGTCCCCAGAGCCCAGCATGGAGGCAGGCGGGCAGTAGGTCCTTCTAGGGCTTGTGGAGAGAGTCCCGGCTTATGCATTTTCAGTGGGGCCAGATTCTGGTCCACCTTCCAGGGTTTTAAATCTTCAAGACTGCCTTTGGGTTTGACAGTTTCTCACTCTCTTTACTCAGGGGGTTACACTGGGGACATTTATTCCAATTCTAACTTGAAGAATAAAAATGACCTCTTTGAATACAAGTTTGCAACTGGCCAGTGGACGGAGTGGAAAATTGAAGGACGGTGAGAAACTCTGCAGAAACATTTGGGACAGGCGGGGTTCTGGGTGGCATTGGATCTGGGATCTGTGCCCTGTTGCCTCCCAGATGAGGACCCTGAGGGCACACAGTGGCAGGGAGCTTAGGGTTGGTGGAATATCCCCCAGTGCAGCTGTGCATGGCCTGCTACCAGCCTTTAGATTCCCTCCTTTCAGAAGAGACCCAAATGGGCCGGGCGTGGTGGCGCCCGCCTGTAGTCCTAGCACTTTGGGAAGCTGAAGCGGGAAGATCACTTGAGCCCAGGAGTTCAAGGCTGCAGTGAACCATGCATGCCTCACTGCACTCCAGCCTGGAAGATGGAGCAAGACCTTGTCACAAACAAATTTTTTAAAAAGACCCAATGGGCTGGGCGCGGTGGCTCAAGCCTGTAATCCCAGCACTTTGGGAGGCCAAGACGGGCGGATCACGAGGTCAGGAGATCGAGACCATCCTGGCTAACACGGTGAAACCCCGTCTCTACTAAAAAATACAAAAAACTAGCCGGGTGAGGTGGCGGGCGCCTGTAGTCCCAGCTACTCGGGAGGCTGAGGCAGGAGAATGGCGTGAACCCAGGAGGCGGAGCTTGCAGTGAGCTGAGATCCGGCCACTGCACTCCAGCCTGGGCGACAGAGCGAGACTCCGTCTCAAAAAAAAAAAAAAAGACTCAATGTACTGCTGATGGCGCTTCTGGGGTCCTGCTTTTTGAGTACCCCCTTTGATATTTTGGTGGCACCTGGGAGAAGGTTCTGTGCCTCTGTGGCTGTCTGAATTCCTCTTCAAGCCTCCAGTCGGCCTCTGAGGCTGTTGCTTATTCCTAGTGCCTTGTGGAGGCCCTGAAGCCCCAGTGTTGGGCGGATGTGGCCATGCAGCCTGGCTGTGGCCCCTGCACTGACCGTATGGGACTGCGAGGCTCAGGTCTGTGCTGGGCAGCCTCACTCCCTCCCCTCTTCCCTCACACTTCAGGTTGCCAGTCGCTAGGTCGGCCCACGGGGCCACGGTGTACAGTGACAAGCTGTGGATCTTTGCTGGCTATGACGGCAATGCCAGGTGGGTGGTGGTCCGGCCTTTGCACCCCACCTCCGACTGCACTGAGACCCGGAGGAGGCCATCCTGGCATTTGAGGGCTTAGGCTGGGAGAGCTCTGCCTAGTAGATTTTGAGTGTCACTGTCTAGGGGTTTCTTGGGAGGGGGACAGAGAAAGAGGAGGATGGGCAGATGGAGGTGAGGACCACTGGGTGGAGCCCCATGGCTACATCAGTTGCACGGCCAGGAGTCGCCGTGCAGGGCTGAGTCGGTGGGCGGATGGGCGGTGCCCAGGCTCAGGCCCAGCCCTGGTTCTTGCCCAGGCCAAAGGCCTTTTCCTCCTTATTTTAGAAAGTTGGCTTTGCTCTCTTTTTCTGATTACAAAAGTAGCATGTGCTGGTTTCCCAAAACTTCAGCATCATAGAAACTCCTAACAATGCAGTGATGATGGTGGTGTCTGTGATATCTGTGTCCTCTCCCCACCCAGGAGGGACACAGCTGGCCTGCCACACTGCCCCAATGTCATGCATGAGAGTACTTGTTCTGTCTGGGCCAGGCAGGGGGCCCAGCACGGCAGGGATTTGAGGCAGTGCCTGCCACCCCACACAGAAGTTCCCGCCTCATGGCCGCACAAGTCCCCTACCCTGTGTGGGGGTGGGGGTCCTCCCTTCAGCCATCCCTTCCAGCCAGGACCAGCCCACCCTGACAGCCAGACCCAAGGGGTCCTCACTGGTCTGTCCTAATACAGGTTGAATGACATGTGGACAATTGGCCTCCAGGACCGAGAGCTCACCTGCTGGGAGGAGGTGAGGGGCACCGGGAGCCAGGGTGCAGGTGGAGGAGGTGAGGGGCACCGGGAGCCAGGGTGCAGGTGGAGGAGGTGAGGGGCGCAGGGAGCCAGGGTGCAGGTGGAGGAGGTGAGGGGCGCAGGGAGCCAGGGTGCCCAGGTTGGAGGAGGTGGAGGGGCGCATGGGGAAAGCCAGGGTGCAGGTGGAGGGAGGTGGGAGGCAGGCAGAGCCAGGCTGGGGGTCGAGGCTGCTTTCTTCCCCTTGCAAAGCCCAGCCTTGACCTGAGCCTCGCTCTCCTCCCTGGTGACCCGCGGGCCTTCATGACCAGTTCCTCACTGTGGCTGCGCAGTGATTCGAGCCTTGGTGTTTTGGATGGGCAGAGCGCCACGTGTGTGAGGGATGTGGTTTTGCTTTAATCCACCCTTTATTTCAATGCAGTGAGGGCAGTCTGCTATCTAGTGTTCTGCTCCCTGGAACTCCCCCTGGGATTGCTTTCCCCTTTAGAAACATGGAATTTATTTATTTATTCATTAAAAAAATTTTTTTTTTCTCAGTCTTCTGGGCATGAAAAACATATGGGTTTAGCCGCTGCTGATTTAACCCTGACGATTTTAGCCCTAGCTGGTCACAACTGGGCCCCCTGAAGTGGAGGAGACAGGGCTATGTGCTGCTCGAAGACAAATGAATCTGTGAACCCTCATCTGGGGAAGTTTCAAGAATAAAAGCAGTCCCATCTCAGCAGTCTTGAGCGTGGTGAAATGTGAGTGGGCCCTGGGAGGCCAGGGCTGATCTGTTCTCTCCCCCATGCAGGTGGCCCAGAGTGGCGAGATCCCCCCGTCTTGCTGCAACTTCCCCGTGGCCGTGTGCCGGGACAAGATGTTTGTGTTCTCCGGGCAAAGCGGAGCCAAGATAACCAACAACCTCTTCCAGTTTGAATTCAAGGACAAGACGTGAGTACTCTGGCCAGTGGGGTGGAGGGAAGATAGTCAGTGCCCCTGAATCCTTGAATGTGAAGGACGCCCCCTGCACCTGGTGGCCATGGTAACCATCCTTCTGAGCTCTGCAAACAGCAGGAGGTTCCAGCCTGGAGCAGGGATGTGCAGGTCCCCAGGATATGGCTACAGTTTAGCAAGATAGGGCCTGGCAAGGAGGCCCCTGACTAGGCCTCCCTCTGACTATGAAGGACATCCCCTTCCCCGTGAATGGCTTGGTCAGTGCCACCAGTAACAAACGTGGCCTGCATAGATCTCAAATGATGGCAGAAGGCCAGAGGGGCCTGCAGTTCCCCAGAGGTCTGGCCCATGCTGCCCCTGGCTGCTGGCCAGCCCTTGACCCTGCAATGAGGCTGCAGGAGAGGGCACAAGGAGTGTGACCTGCAGGTACAGAGGGTTTGGGAAGGGACTTGGGAGCTTCCCTGGAGGCCACGGATGCGTGGGAGGATGGGCAGGGTGCCCCAGGACGAGGGAACCTGTCGAGGGCCCGGGGCTTAGCAAGGAGCCAGATGGCATAGCCCTGCCAGGCCAGGATCTGTTCTGAAGTCTTCAACTAACTTAGCAAAAGAGGGGACTTGCTGGGAGGTACTGGGAAGCCTGGGAGGTGGAAGGTGCTGGAGCAACATCAGGATGTAGGGTGCAGGCAGCTCCCAGGATGGGGACTCAGCTGTGGGGATGGTCTGACTGGGCAGCATGAAGATGTGCAATGGTCTCTGCACAACTTCACTCCCCAGAGAGCAGGACTGCCTGGCAGGTCAGATGCCACCCTCCTGCCCATCACTGCTGCCTGCTTCATGGGGAGACAGGGGAGCTCCGGCAGGACCCCACGGTGGGCCACATGGAACCAGGCAGGGCTGGTGCCAGTGCTGGATGGGGCGAGGGGTGCTCAGCGCAGGTGTCTAGGCTTCCCTCTGGACCCTGGGCTAGTCACCGTAGGGGCTGCAGGGGGACCTCCCAGTGAGGGTCTGCTGTGGGGAGGCCCCGAGGGTGAGCAGGAGCCCCTGTCCCAGCATTGGTTCACTGTCGTGTACCCCCAGGTGGACACGCATCCCAACTGAACACCTGCTCCGGGGTTCCCCACCACCCCCGCAGCGGCGCTACGGGCATACCATGGTGGCCTTTGACCGCCACCTCTATGTGTTTGGGGGTGCGGCCGATAACACGCTGCCCAATGAGCTGCACTGCTATGACGTGGACTTCCAGACCTGGGAGGTCGTCCAGCCCAGCTCCGACAGCGAGGTGAGGGCTGCCAGCTGGACACCAGTGGCTCCTACCCTGCTCCCACCTTCTCCCCAGCTCCTCACAGCTTTGGGGCCACTTGGGGTTCCAGACAGCTACCAGGAGCAAGGCCAGGACACCTGGGCCTCAGCCCTGGACACCTGCCCCGGCCTCCAGCCCCAGCTTCACCCCACAGCCTGCAGGTGGTTAACGCTTCACACCCCGTCATGGCTGCATGGGGCTGCCGTGCTGCAGACCTTTCCTGGGAAGCCCACAGGCATGCAACTCTTCCTTCTTTCCGAACCCGCTCTCAAGGCCAGGATGGTGGGGGTCTCTGGGCACCTACCTGGCCCTTGCCAACTGATCTCATGCCCACGTGTCTCTCCTCCTCAGGTCGGTGGGGCTGAAGTGCCCGAGCGAGCCTGTGCTTCTGAGGAGGTGCCCACCCTGCCCTTTGAGGAGCGAGGCGGCTTCAAGAAGTCCCGAGATGTGTTCGGCCTGGACTTTGGCACCACCTCAGCCAAGCAGCCCGCCCAGCCCGCCTCGGAGGTACAGGCTGGGACCCTCATTAAGACTCCATCACCTCCTGAAGCAGGTCCTGTGATCAACCACTCTCACACATGGGGAGACTGAGGCCCAGAGAAATACTCGCTTGGGGTCACACTCCAAAGGAGGTGCAGGGCCAGGAGCTCTCACCCTGCTGGCCAGGCTGCAGCTTTCTGGGATGGGTGCCACACACTGGCCTGAGTGCCCCACCCACTCTGAGGGTCCCCATGGCCCGTCATGCCCCACTCGACTACATGGGTATTCAGGTCCCGCCTGTGTCTGTGGTTGCACCCAGGGGCCCTCCTCCCTTGGGGACCCTGCCCCCGGCCCTTCATGGCCATGAGGTGCCGCGTCCTTGCCCTTACCTGGCTGCACCAGCCCCACTGTGGAGGCTCTGCCCCCCATTCCACCCTGCCTTCTTGTCCCCCAGCTGCCCAGCGGGAGGCTCTTCCACGCGGCTGCTGTCATCTCGGACGCCATGTACATCTTCGGGGGCACGGTGGACAACAACATCCGCAGCGGGGAGATGTACAGGTTCCAGGTGTGGGGCCTGTGGGCCTGTAGGAACGGCTGGGTGGACGGATCCCCTGTGATGGGAAACTGAGGCCAAGTCGGGGGGGCGGGGCTTATCCAGGCCGTTGCCAGGGCCACACCTGGCGGGATGGAATCCTCGGGAGGAGCCCTGTGGGCTGAGGGTGGGCTGAGGTGGCACTAAAGTGGGCAGCCTCCGTGCAGTGGGGCAGGCGGATGGCACTGGGGCTCACAGCAGAGTCAGTGGAGGGAGCCGGGCCAAGCTAGGCTCAGCACCAGAGCCTCACAGGCATCACAGCCTGGCCCAGGGCAGCCAGGGCTGACAGTGGCTTGTGCTGACAGCCCCTTCCCAGGCCTGGAGGAACAGGTGGTCAGGGCAGGGACTCACAGCCACAGTGAGGTCAGGGCCGGCTTCCTAGAGGAGATTGGGGTGGTGCTGGTGGGGGCCAGTGTGAGGACGCAGGTCCAGGCAGAGTGGAGATGGCAGAGCTCTGCTGAGGCCTGGGCCCCAGCTGAAGGCAAGAGGCAGGGGAGCCCTTTCCTGCTGTGGAACTGGCCGTGGACAGTTGCAGGTGCCGAGGCTGGAGCCAGGCTGTATTTTCAGGGTGGGGTGGCGGCAGCTTTCTCTCCTCAGCCAGGCCCACCTGCCTTCTGGGCCCTGAGGGTCAGCATGGGCCAGGTGGGGACCTCAGGGTCAGCCTGCGCAGCCACACTGGGGCCACTCGGCCATCCTCAACATCTAGCGTCACTGGGCCCCTCTTGCAGTTCTCCTGTTATCCTAAATGCACGCTGCACGAGGACTACGGGCGGCTGTGGGAGAGCCGCCAGTTCTGCGATGTGGAGTTCGTGCTGGGTGAGGTGAGTGCCTGTCCTTGCACCCTATTCTGCCTGCTGTGCCCGGGTAGTGGGAACTTCGCCCCTCAGAAAAACAGCTGCTGGCGTGGTGGTGCTGACCCTGGCCGGCTGGGTCTCTGTTCTCTGGGGCGAGGGTCCCATGCCCTCTGCCAGTGCATTATTCTTTGTGCAGAAGGAGGAGTGCGTGCAGGGCCATGTAGCCATTGTCACAGCGCGGAGCCGCTGGCTTCGCAGGAAGATCACGCAGGCACGGGAGCGGCTGGCCCAGGTGAGGTGCCTAACCGCCCCGCCCGGACCTGGCAGCCATGCCTGTTGTCCACTGGGGTGCCCTTGAGCTCCCTTCTCCCCACAGAAGCTGGAGCAGGAGGCCGCCTCAGTTCCCAGGGAGGCCCCCGGCGTGACTGCTGGTGGGACCCGGCCGCCCCTGCTGCACGTGGCCATCCGGGAGGCCGAGGCCCGGCCCTTCGAGGTGCTCATGCAGTTCCTTTACACCGACAAGATCAAATACCCACGGAAAGGTCCGCCTGGGTGGGGGTGGAGCAGGATTGGTGTGGGCTGGGGTGCGGGCCGCAGAGCCAAAAGGTGGGTGCTGCCAGCCCTGCCTTACTGATGGGCCCCCTGAGGCTCAGAGGCTGCAGGTCACCCTCATTACCCATGATCACTGCCACTGGATACCATCTGAGTCCCCCGAGGCTTTGCTCCTACCTAGTGGCCCCAACCCACACTCTTCCATGCGGAGAGCCCTGTGCCCTGTGCCCCGCCCTCCCCTCTCCGGCGCCCTGAGACTCGGGGGCTCTGGGGCGCAGGCCACGTGGAGGATGTGCTGCTCATCATGGATGTGTACAAATTGGCACTGAGCTTCCAGTTGTGCCGCCTGGAGCAGCTGTGCCGCCAGTACATCGAGGCCTCCGTGGACCTGCAGAACGTGCTGGTCGTGTGCGAGAGTGCCGCCCGGCTGCAGCTGAGCCAACTCAAGGTGTGGGGTGGGGTTAGCACGATCGGGGTCAGATGGGGTGTGCTCAGGCTTTGGCCCCCTCCCTGCCCACCACTGTGAGCCCCTCGCCCAGCCTGGGACCCTGGCTTGACCCTACCTGCCTGCCCGCCTGTGCCTGTCTGCCCCAGGAGCACTGCCTGAACTTCGTGGTGAAGGAGTCCCACTTCAACCAGGTGATCATGATGAAGGAGTTCGAGCGCCTCTCCTCGCCGCTGATCGTGGAGATTGTGCGGCGGAAGCAGCAGCCACCCCCTCGCACTCCCTCGGACCAGCCAGTGGACATTGGTAGGGAGCCCCGTTCCCCTTCCCTCGGGGCTGGGAGGGATGGTGTTCATCTGTGGCAGGAGACTTGGGAGCCATGGAGAGCACCTGCCAGGCCCTCGGGGTGGGGGTGGGTGCCATGGGACCCCAGAGTGCTCTCCTGGGTACAGGGCAGAAACAGATGGCGGCAGAAGCCCCCAACCCATGGGGCTTGCCACAGTGGCCTGTGTCCTGGTGAGCTGGGATTTCCTGAGCCAATTTCTGGGGGTGGACATGGGTACCTCTTTTGGGCTGGGATGTCAGGTCTGATGGCCCAGGGTCACAGTGATCAGTCACTGGACTTCTCTTTGCTTGTAATGTCACAGGCCCCTTCATTCCCCCAGCTCTCCTTGGGGGTCGTGCTGACCCCAGTTGCTGGCTCTTGGTGACATCTGCCGGCACCAGAGGCCATGCAGTGGGCCTGGAGGGGGCTTGATCATGAGGGCAGCGAAGGGGGGCACAGCAAGCTGGGTGGAAGATGAGACACTGGGTGGTGGGCTGTGTGTTCGGCATAGTGCTCGAGTTGGCCAGGGCGCTGAGGGAGGACAGAATGTGGCTGATGGTGCCTCAGGGCCAGAGTGAAGCCTTCTGCCTGGGTGAAGTTTTGTTCAGAGCGGCAACATGGGCAGATGTGCAGGAAGATAGTGCCATGGCGCCCCAAGGCCAGAATCCCAGGCTGTACCTGCTCAGGGTCCCTCCCACCCCCAGGCACATCTCTGATCCAGGACATGAAGGCATACCTGGAGGGGGCGGGCGCAGAGTTCTGTGACATCACGCTGTTGCTGGATGGGCACCCACGGCCAGCCCACAAGGCTATCCTGGCCGCCCGCTCCAGGTGGGTGGGGGCTGGACGGGAGGGAAGGGTGGGCCTGGATGGTGTCTTCGTTCTGCTGACAGCCGGGTGCCTGCCGCTCATTGTCTACAGCTACTTTGAAGCCATGTTCCGGTCCTTCATGCCCGAGGACGGGCAGGTGAACATCTCCATCGGGGAGATGGTGCCCAGCAGGCAGGCCTTTGAGTCCATGCTGCGCTACATCTACTACGGCGAGGTCAACATGCCGCCCGAGGACTCGCTGCATCCTCACTCCCCAAGGAACTCCCAGGTCGCCACCAAGGGGTCCTGGCACCCACCTCGGGTGGCTTTGAGGCCCGCTTTCCTGCCCCAGCTAGGCGATCTGGGCCCAGCGCCTCCCTCCAGAGGATTTGCTGGTGCCTGGAGCTGGGCCAGGTGCTCTCTAAAGCAGTTGGCAGCTGGCAGGGAGGGGTTTGCAGCCAGTAGGAACCAGTGGGTTCCTGACCCTCAAAACTGCCCAGAGGATGGGGTGGGTCATTGTTTTGTGTGATAGTTGAGCACAGACATGGAACTACTCCTCTTATGTCACATCAGTAGGGGTCCAAACATGGAGGGTCACGATGCCTGTTAGGCTTGCAAGGCCATGGAATTGCGCTGCAGATGTGCAGACGGTATTTTTCTGGGGAGGGGATTCATGGTATTTGGATCCTCAGTGGGGCCTTTGACCCACTAAGTAGTTCAGAATCCATTTAGAGAGCATGCTGGCGTGTGGGCTGGATTGGAGTCTGGCCCCTGGTGGGCTTGGGGCTCCATCTGCGCCCCTCCCTGTCCTTCCCTGGGAGGGTGTGGGCGGACCAGGTTCCTTTGGTCAGCTCCTTAACCAGGCCCCAGCTACTTGTTTGCGGCCCCCTACTACTACGGCTTCTACAACAACCGGCTGCAGGCGTACTGCAAGCAGAACCTGGAGATGAACGTGACGGTGCAGAACGTACTGCAGGTAGCCCCCTAGCCCTGTGCCCACGGCTGCAGCTCCCACTGAGTGGGTGAAAGGGGCAGCGCCTCAAGGTCCCTGCCATTACAGATCCTGGAGGCAGCCGACAAAACGCAGGCGCTGGACATGAAGCGGCACTGCCTGCACATCATCGTGCACCAGTTCACCAAGGTCAGGGCTCTGGCCTCCCCTTCAGGACTTGCTTCCCCTCAGCAGTGGGCACGCCCAGGCAGGGAGGGGTGCCCAGGCTCTGTGGTCCCCTGCAGTGGTGGGTCCTGGGGGTGAGTGAAGCAGAGCAGCCCACCACTGGCTGCACCTTGCTTCATCCTTGGGACTAGCCTGAGCCCCGAGCAGCGTGGGCCCCAGAGGGCTCCACTGCCCACCATGGCCCTTATGTGGATCTGGTCCCATCTCCTTCCGGCCTGCTTGCCTTGCAGGTCTCCAAGCTGCCCACGCTGCGGTCGCTGAGCCAACAGCTGCTGCTGGACATCATAGACTCCCTGGCCTCCCACATCTCAGACAAGCAGTGTGCAGAGCTGGGCGCCGACATCTGAGGCCCTGTGGCGCCTGCCCATTGTGAAGAATTGCCGTGCCTGCCTGCCCTGCCCACTGAGAAGACTACTGGCTATGCGCCTGCCTATGGCAGAGTGGGTGCACCTGCCAGGCCGAGGGTCGGGGTGCCCAGAGCCTCCAAAGAGAGCTGAGGGGATATGGGGCCCCAATCTCAATTCACTGAAGACACAGGTCCCACAGAGAACAGACGATAGCAGATGATGAAGCAGACCCCCTCCCCTGTCATCACCCTCTCCTGATGTGGTGTGGATGTGAGGCCACGGCTCAGTAATGGGCTCACCACCCGGAAGTGGGGAGAGACCTTGGGTCTCCCACCCAGTGGTGCTTGGCCTGGCTCCTATGGCCTAGGTGTTTTGTAGACCCACGCACTGGGGCCTGTCACCAAGGCTCCTCCAACATGTGGGAGGAGGCTTAGCAGACTTGCGCTGCACCATGGAATCTGCCTGGGCTGCTCCTGTCCCGCCCACCCTCACTGAGATCCATGTAAGGGGCTCCTTTTCCCACCCGGAACTTGTGAGTGTGGACCCATGATGTGTGGGTCTCACCTGACTTAAGGTGAATTTTGGAGTAAGGGCCCTGAGGTCAGCTCCCAGGTCGGTCATGCTGGGCCAGGCCTGGTTTTCACAGGTGCTGAAGGATCCCAGTCCACCTGTGTGCATGTCAGGGCTCAGCCGGGACGAAGCCAGCCAAGTCCCGCATGTCCCTTGCTGAGTATTCTGTCACAGACAAGCCTCCATTAAAGCCACAGCAGTGCTACCTACCACATACACCTTGCTGGCCCAGCCACCACTGCTGGCCTCAGCCCCTCGGCCCTCCTGCAGCCGAGGACTGGCTCTGGAGCCCATGGCTTAGCAGATCCCCAGATGTAGGTCAGTTGGTCTTACCTGTCTCTATCCATGCTGTCAACTGCCCCCACCTGGGGATCTGCTAAGCCACCCAGTCACACTAGGGAGAAGGGCTATGAAGGAATCCAGGCTGGCCCCTCCCAGGGGAATCCTGGAGGCCTGGGGTGGGCTCCTGCCCCTTCTGCCCTGCCTTGCCCCTGCACTGTGGTCTTGGCTCCTGTGGAAGGCAGGCTGCCCTCTCGCCCTAGTGAGGGCCCCATGTGAATCCACTCTGATGCTGGGGAACCAGTGCTCCCTTATTGGGAAGAGGATTCCAGGACCCCTTTTTTGTCGTGGCTGCCATGAAGCCACAACTCACCTTAGGGAAGTGACCTGCTCTCCTCTGGCTGTATGCAGGTGGAAGGGGGCCTTGAGTGGCAAGTTGCTTAGCTAACAGGAACAGATCCATAGGCAGCCTGCAGGCTAGGAAGTAGCCTGGTGCAAGATGAGCTGGGAACAAGGGAGGAGCGAGCGGGAGCTAGGGCAGAGGCTGAGCCAGGAGGCCCATGCAGTGATGACACAGCAGGCCCAGGACCATGGCTAGGAGGTATATGTCAGCACCTGGAAGTGGAGTGCAGGCTGGGGCAGCCAGCCATGTGGGCCAGGTGCATTCACGCAGAGTGGGGCCACAGAGCCACCTACCCAGTTTCCACATGTGGCTCCTGCCACACCCACAGGGCAGCCTCCTCCAAATCCCTCTCCTGGACAGGTCAGCCCAGAAGCCTCCTTGAACTAGTCTGCAAACCCTGCTCTATGCTGACCCTTGTCGCTAAACCCTCAACTGTCTCTTCTTGACTTATATGAATAAATGAAATTATATGCCAAGGGCCCTAAAAAGCAAATTTTACAAAATTGTGTGGCAGTTTCTGGGAGTAGAATGAATTCAGTTGTGCTCCTTGGCAGGGAGAGGCCATGCTTGCAGTGAGTCACCCCACACACAGAGCTGTTGGAGAATTACAGCTGCAGCAAGGCCTTCCAGGTTCTGGGAGATGAAGGAAAAGGATGCCGAGGCCAGGACCTGAGGGCTTGTCTCCCAAGTTCTAGCCACCTCTTCCTAGATTTCCAGGGGCTAGCTTGTTGGGGCTTCACTACCTGCTGACATGCCCCAGGAGGCTGATGACTGTCATCGTCGTCCCTGTTTTTCGAATAGAGATGGTAGTGAAGGGGGACGGGGAGAGGGTTGCCCTGCTTACCCACCAGGCTGATGGGGCCTGTGGACAGAAGCCTGTCATGCCCCTGCTTGAGAAGCGAATCTGGACTGGGTTTCAGAAGTGTTCTCAAAGGGGCTGGCTGGTTTAGGTCAGGGCTGTTTCAGATCCTATGGAAAGAGCACCTGGAGCTTCAGAGAACCCTGTGGGGCATGGAGCTGCACTAGCAGGGCTGTCTGCCACCAGTAGCTCTGAGGTGTGACAGCCAGGCTCTCTGTTCTCCTTGGCAAAGAGCTTGGACTGAGCCCTCTGGAAGCTGCAGCCACTGTCTGGGACAGCAAGCTTAGTACTCAGAGGGGCTCCAGCCCCCAGCTGAGCCATACAGCAGGCCCTCTGTCTAGAATCCGCTTTATTATGGCACCTGGTGGGATCTGAGGGAGGAAGAGGCAGCAGCCTTGCTGGGCAGCCCCTCAGTCAGTCCAGCGGCACCTCCCTTAGGCCATGCTGCTGCTCAGCTGCATGGCAAAGTCCTGCACATGCTCCTTCAGAGTCTGACGGGCATCCGCCTGTGCCCTCTTCTCCCGTGCCCGCTCCTGCTGCAGCTTGGTTAGTCTCAGCCGCAGCCGCTGCTCCCGCCGCTTGCAGGCCTGCAGCTGGCGCTGGGCCTTGTCAAGGGCATCAAGGGCTGCCTCAGCTCGTCGCTTCCAGAGTAAGGCGCTGCCCACCTGGTAGCTGTGTTCATTCTGGATGTAGGCTCCAGCGGGTGGGGGCAGGCGCAGCATATAGGCTGAGGGGGAGACTGGCCGTGGCTCGAGAGGGGAGGGCTGCCGCTCTGGCGAAGGCTGGGCACTGCAGCCTGCTTCATCTGCCTGGGCACCCAGGGGGCCCAGTAGGTCTGAAAAGGGGCTGCTAAGGCCAGGCTCCAGCCTCCCTGCTGGGGAGGCCGGCAAAGTGGCAGGTGCTGAGGCCTCTTCCACAGGAAAGCAGATGACATCAGCAGGTGGAGGTGGAGAAAATGGAGTTGTGGGCCCTCGGCCTTCGGAGCAGCTAGGAAGGGGGAAAAGAGATACTGATGGGCTAGGCTGAGGGCTTGCCAGACCACACTCCACCAGTCCACCTGATCCCCTTAACGCCCAAACCCGATCCACAGATTCTGTGCAGCAAGAACCCTGTCCAGTTAGACTGCTGGCAGACCCCCTAGGGCCCAGTCTCTCAGCCTAAGGGTAGGAGTGGGGCATCCCCCACCCATACCACATACCGCTTCCTGCATCGTCTGAGCCGGCTGACTTCAGGGGGGCCAGGTGGATAACTGTGTCCTTCGGTTTTGGTTGTCCTGCGCAACTTGGAGAAAGACTCAAATATGGTGGGGACTGCCCCCTCCTTTAGCCTGTGATATCCGCTGTGGGGAAAAGCAACCCAGATGAGCTGGAGAGCAAGTGCTGCCTCCCCAGGCCAATCTGCCCCCAGCACCAGCGCAGTGGGAGGCTGGAAGGCACCGCGCAAACAATAGGTCTGGGGAATGCCAAGTCAGAGCTACACCAATCGCTTCCCTGCAGGACCCCTCAAAGTCGAGCTGCGTGGAAAACCTGCACAAGCAGAGCTGGGCTGACCAGCCAAAAAGAATTCTTTGATTTGTGGACTTGCTGGCAAGATTGGGGCTCTGAAAAATCCTCTCTGGAAAGGCTCATGTTTTTCCCCGTGTCACGGCACAGTGATCCTGGGGGTGGGTCTCACTGTACAGAGCTGGGAAGAGGAAACAGACCCCTCGGACGCAGGCTGCTCAAGGGACTTCAGGACCTGCAGCTGTCCCAATCCGCCCGAGGTCCCACGTCCTACCCCAATCCTCACCTGATTCCCACCAGCTCAAAGCAGTTCTCCTCAAAGTGTTTGGAGCAGAAGTAGATGTACTCGGATGCCGGGTCCCACAGGCCCTGGCCGCTGGGGTCCAGCCGCTGGCAGTTGGCCAGCCACAAGCCTCGCCTCGGGTTGTCCTTCTTGGGAAGTCTGTGGAGCCACAAACCCGTGAGCACCAGGCTGTCCATAGCCCCGGGCTCATGCTGCCCAAGCTCCCCAGGGGGAAAACGCAGACCCAACACGCGCCGCCACGAGACCTCCCTACGACCCCGCCAGGTAAGCACCACCGCCCCGGCACAGACGAGGCAATGGGAGTCTCGAGAAGAAAAGCAGTTTCCTCAGCGTCGTCTGGCAGGTAACAGAGTGGGGCACGTCCAAGCCGGCTAGACTTCCCGTCCTCCCCGTCCCGACTGCATTTGGTCCCGCGGGGACCGTCCCGCTCCGCCTCCCACCCACAGGTTCAAGCCGCCTCAGGATCCGAGAAACGCGCGAAGCCTCTACGCAGTTGCGGCCCGAGGCGAGCAACGACTAGCGCATGCGCACGAGAACCCGCGCACGCGCGCTGACCTGTGGAAGGAGATGCCGCGGTTGCGCGTCTCGCGCGTGTCCCGTGTGCAGCAGCCGGCAGCGGAGCAGTGACGCGGCATCTGGGGAAGAGGCGGGAGTTAAGTCGCAAGCGGCTGTCCGGGCTTCCAGAGGAGCCTCGCGCCTCTAGCCGCCGCTCCTCCCCAAGGGGCTCTGGCCCGTCGGGGTGTCCCCCGGCCCGTTGTTGCCCCAACCCCGTCCCAGCCGGTTTCTTGACTTCTGTCAGCGGCACTCACGGTCTGGCCATTGCTGCGCCGCCGAAGTCTCGCGAGGGGTAGCGCGCGCCGGAAGTTGGTACCATAGAGACTGGAGAGCTGGAGGTGCTCCGCCGCGGGGCGGGGCGGGGCGGGGCGGGGCGGGGCGGGGCGAGGTCCTAGCGAGCTGGGTTCGGAAGCGGCGCGAGTGTGCGAGTCTCTGTTGCGGCCGCGTCGTCCCAGCTCCTTGGACTGCCAGTGTTGTCGCCCATGTGGGCTTCTCTTTCGTCGGTTCAGGCCTCACTTTTCTCCGTAAACACTCCGGCACGATGGAGCGGCCCCAGTGTACGGGTCGGCCCGGGAGCGGAAAGCTGCAGTGTCCTGGGAGCCTCGAAAGCCGCGGGGGCGGCAGCTCGCTTCCAGAAGACCTCTGACTGACGAAAGAAAACGGGGCCTGGGACGCTTGCACAAAAGAACCCGACAAAAACCAGAGCCGGCACTCACTCTCGTACCGGGGAGGTGGACCTGAGGGAGGGCAGGGTATGCCCCTGAGTACACTGGGGACGTGTGCTGGGCCGGAGGTTCCATTGTAGCCAGCTTCGGCAGGGGCGTGACGGAGGAGGGGAAAAGCTGAGGATGCCGGTATGACAGGCAGCGTCGGGAACTGCTCCTGCGAAGCCGGTGGACACATGACCCGGCGGGCTGCTTGAGTCCTCATCTCCTCCCGTAAGACTCAGTGAAAATAGCCGCTCCATTCAAGGGCTTCAGAAGATTTAAATGCAAAATAGGCCGGGCGCGGTGGCTCAACGCCTGTAATCCCAGCACTTTGGGAGGCCAAGGCGGGCGGATCACAAGATCAGGAAATGGAGACCATCCTGCCAACATGGTGAAACCCCATCTGTATTAAAGATACAAAAATTAGCTGGGTGTGGTGGTACGTGCCTGTAATCCCAGCTACTCGGGAGGCTGAGGCAAGAGAATCACTTGAACCAGGGAGTTGGAGGTTGCAGTGAACCAAGATTGCACCACTGCACTCCAGCCTGGCGAAAGAGTGAGACTGCGTCTCAAAAAACAAAAAAAGAATTTGCCAAGGATGATGGCATGCACCTGAAGTTCCAGCTACTCAGGAGGCTAGGGCAGGTGAATCCTTAAGCCCAGGAGTTTGAGGCCACATTGAGCTGATCTCACCACTATATTCCAGCCTGGGTGACAGAGCAAGACCCTGTCTTAAAAAAAAAAAAAAAAAGACAAAAAAAAAGTTGTTTTCAGTTGAAAGTCTAGTGTTGGTAGTAATCAAATGACAACAGAAGAGGACTTTGTTC